AAGGAAGGAAGGAAGGAAGGAAGGAAGGAAGGAAGGAAGGAAGGAAGAAAACCCCTTGGAAGCTGTTCAACTCTGTAACACACAGGAGTTTCAAGAGTCTGAATGACTCAATGATAAGATTCTGTCAAGTCGACTACATTTCACAGTCCTACGAACAACAGATCTGAACCCTGCCTGTACCATCCTCACAACCTCCATAATGCTAAAGACAATTGTTGCAATCACTGTGTCAATGCATCTTTTTGAGGGTCTTCCACTCTTTCCCTAACCTTCTACGTTTCTCAGCATAATGTCTTTTTCCAAGGATATCCTGACAACACGCCCAAAGTTTTACCATCTAAAGAGCACCCTGGTTGCACTTTCTCCAAGACAGATTTGTTTGTCCTTTTGGCAGTCAAAGGTATTTTTAATACTCCTCACCAACACCACAATTCAGAGGCATCAATTCTTCTTTAATCATTCTTAATCATTGTCCAACTTTCAGATGCACAGGAAGCAATTGAAAATATCATGGCCTGGGTTAGGCATACCCTAGTCTTTAAACTAACCATTGTTCTGGCACTTTGGAGAAGTCCTTGACAGTATATTTTCCCATTGTGACATGTCTTTTGATTTCTGACTCCAGCTGCCATAGGTGTTAATTATGGATTAAAGTAAAATAAAAGTGTTGATTATGTCAACCTTTTCTCCATCTATCATGATGCTGTGCATTGGTCCAAGGGTGAGAATTTTTCTTCTCTTAATGTTGACATGTAATCCATATTGAAGTAGCACTGGAAAACGGAGCTCAACGGTTTTTGCCAGTCAGAATGTCACTCACTATGTTGACAGAGACATGGAGACTAAAAAAAGTGCACTCGCATCCTCTGGGTAATAGTGGAATTATTCCCCTGCAAGTATTCAAGGTGCCTTACAAGGGCCTGAAGGCCCTACAGAATAACTCATATTCTTAGTAAATATTCTTCATTCGTCCATCAATGAGATTCCTAGATAATTAATTTCATTTTACTTGGATCTACAATCAACATCCATTGAAACGGACATCAGGAAATCAAATAACATGTTGCAATGGGAAAATCTGCTGCCAAGGACCTCTATAAAGTCCTGCAGAGTAAGGATGTCATTTTAAAGACTAAGGTGTAAAAATAAGAAAATCAAGATCAAGGTGCACTTTACCTAAACCATGTTGTTTTCAGTTGCTTTACATGCATGTGAAACATTATGAAGAAGAAATATGGAAGAAAAATTAAAGCCTTTGAATTAAGATGTTGGTGAAAAATATTAAATATACCATGGACTGCCAAAAGAA